GGTCTTGGCATTGCCTCCTGCTCCAAGGTAGTGCCAAACACTAGCCAACGTCCAAGCAACAAGCAGCCAAATCAAGACAAATGATGAGCCCAAATCTAACCGAGTCAAGCCCAATAAATCAAGTAAGCCCAAGGTCCAAGGAGTCCAAGAAAATTAGAACACGTGGGAAGTAATCATTGAGACACTCACTCTCGAAGATCAAGACAACATTTAATTGTACTTATATTTTATAACTATCCTCCCTGGAAAATTATTATCTTTACCCTTACGTCACCGCCTCTCCTAAGGGCTTCATGCCAATAAATTGTAAGCTCTCTCTATATGAGATGGCACCTCTCTAGACACCCATCACATAATTTTTTTTCTCTCCTAGCTATCATCCTCCTTCCGACGCTAACTATTGTTCTCTCTCTCCCTCTCACCTTACTTTATTAATAAAGGTATTCCAGCCATCATTGTCATTTTTCGGAGTGGAGTAGATCACTGGGACCAAACTACTATATATTCGTTTGTTGCCCCGATATTTACCTTTTTGTCATTGATTGCTTTATTAATTGTCTCATTAATTTACTAGCATCATTCATTCGACTATTGATCTTGCATAAGTTTGTATTTTGTATTATCAGTATGCTAATCACCTTTTTAGGTATTTTACCAGCTTACTGATTTTTAAGGTGTGTATTTTTTTTTTTTGGATTTAGTTACCATTTTTTGGTATAAAACTTAGCACCTTTTGTTTTTTTTTTTTTCACTTTTTTGTAGTCAAACAACATTATTTTCGCCATAGCTCCAAGACTAATAATCAAGTCAAGTTACTCGTACTCGAGCCTGACTCAAGTTCAGCTCATTTCGTTTTCTAAAAGAGTTGAGCTTGAATAATTTTTTTGACCCATTTAGAAAATGAGCCTAAAAAATTTATTTATATATAAAATACTCGAGTTACTTGGACTCGGCTCATTTCACGAGCTCGACTCAATTTCGATTATCAACCCTACATAGCTCCATATTTCTTCCTAAAAAATTACAAAAGCCAAATAGTCCCACTACAATTTGGTTTCTTCAATTATTGCACTAATTGCCATGACATCTTACATAATTTGGAGTATTCAATGGAACCTTGTCTTTTCCTTAATATTCTTGCATGAAAACTCTGTTGCCAGTTTAAAGAAATACAACTCAACCCCAACCCTTACCCCCCCCCCCCCCCCCCCCCCCCCAACAAAAGGAAAAGAAAAAATTAGTCTATTTCATTCTTTAAACGTTACAACTTTCACTCTATTTGTAAGTGGCCCGTTAAGAGACAAGACCTTGTTGAACAAAAAAAAATTTAATTAACGGTATTATGAAAAATATAAATTTAAATCATAGAAATATTCTCGGATAAAAACTGTGCACCTCACCCTCCCAATCATGATGGGAGGCTCGTGAATTGACCCTTTTTTTCAAGAAGTACATTCGGATCGTAGGGTATCTACAAAGTGAAAAAAACAAAGAACATCATTTAACTTTTTAAATCCAAAATCTCCATTCTGCAACAAGGGCAATGAGCATTGTTCTCTAGCCATGGAACCAAACAACTTGAATGGAACCGATGAGAGCAGGGCAAACGCACCAGGGTCTCGCCCACCTTGAACTGCTCCAAGCACACTGCACACTCCTCCTGGTCCAAGACCTTTTTCTGCCCAAACCTTGCCCAATTGAACCTTTTCAATCCTCTCTTCACTCCAAACACCTCTATTTTCAAATCCCCTAGCACCATAGACCTGCCCTCCCCACCCCTTTATCTCTTTGTCTGTTAGTCCTGAACTCAAATCATAAGTGAAAATCAGTAAATATTAGTTGTTTTTTTTTTGAACTGGTAGTAAATGTAAGTTGAAAAGATGATCATTTCGAGTGTTCGTCAATTATATTCTCTCATAATTAAAAAAAAATCAAAAAGGCCGATGGTATGAAGGATTTCTAAAAATGAAAGTTGTCAATTCTTAACATGATTTGATAATTATTTTTCTTTTGATTGTTATAATCATAAACATGTTTGATTTGTTATACCCATTTGAAAAATGGATTGACATGAATCTAGTTAAACATAATTTATATATATATAAATGACCATAAATGGGTTGAATGAAAGATGCAGATTTTGATATGACAACTTGCACAAGTTGTACATGTAATATATATGACAGATTTATTACCAACTCTACTAAATTTCGGTTGGCATGCAACAGAAGGGAAATTTTTTTTAAAAATTCACCCTTACCTTTTGGTATCTAATTTCCTTTGTGCTTTTAGCTTCTCATCTAACCTTTCTTTGGCTTCTCTAGCCACTTCTGCTAGCTTCTCATTCAGATATTCCTGGTTCAGCGTAATTCTCTGCTGTTTGTAATATTCTGCCAAATTTTAGTGAAACGCATTCACATATATGTAGATCTAGAGAGACAGAGAGAAATGTGGTTTGATATATAGTACCATGGAAGAAAATGAAGTGAGATGGAATTCATGGTTGGTTGTGTACAAACAAAACGATGACCGCCTTGGGGAGGCATGGGCTGCAGACGTAGTAGGTGGAGCTGAAAAAGCACCGCTCTGATGAAACCGTCTTCTTCTAGCACATTCAACCCCGCGAAGCATTCCAGCCATTTTGACAAAGAAAAACTGTCTGGGTAGCTTCTATAGATGACTGATCATCTGCTATAGTTCTTGCCTTCTTCATTCAAAGCTTGCCTGATATAAAGAAAAGAAAATCAAAAAATAGAAGAATACCCATGTCAGCAGCAGAAAGAACATGGGCTCGTCACACAAGTTTCATGTCAAAATCAAAGAAATTCCCTAGAATAATTGATTGAATCCAATAGAACTATAAGAGAAAATTGAAGGGTACGTAGCTACTAGAGACATTGACGGACATTTCTGATTGGTTATGCAGCTTTTTGCCATCAGTTTTAGGAGAAAATATTCAACTTGAAATTTTCTCTCCCTTTATTTATATAGAGGCTGAATGAAAGTGAAGGAAAGAGAATGAAAATGGTAAGAAGGAGATGGGAAATTTCATGGAACTTGACTAAGGGACAGGTGGGTAAAGTGATTTGACCAAGTAAGTTGGCAATTCTATATCCAATTAAAAATATTTTGTTCAAACATTTGGCGAGTCCACGAGCGTGGACAACTCATTTGATAAAAATATTTTTTGATAAAAGTTTTAGTATGCATAACATTTTTTATGTTAAAATTTGTTTAGTTTAGTTTACATTTAATTTTTTTTTATGTATTGTCGTATATTTATTGGATTTATATCCATATTATGTACTATAAGACTCATGTTATGTGTAATTGAGTTATTATTCTATCATACCATTAAATAAGTCCGATTGGCTGATTCCAGTTCATACTGAACCAAGCACATAAATGGGTCACGTCAACCCAATGGTTCAATTAAATTACATCTCATAATAGTAGATTACAATAATATTATTCAACTTTTATAACTCAACGTGACATAATCATAATTATTAGGTATATAACATATTTAGCGTGATCTATTAATTAAAAGATAAAATTATGCGCACCAAATCATCTATCTGTAACTATAAAATTAATAATGAAACACAGTGATTCGATGACTGTTGGTAATTTTGTACACACTTTTTATGTCAAATGGTCCACATTGAGATAGTGAGCATAAAGGTTATCCGGACAGATGATGGTTAATGAGAGAACCCATATGCACGCCAAGCGGCTCACCAAATCCTCTTAGGATTTTTGTTTTTTTTGGTTTGGTTTGCTTTTCGTCCCAAAATCCCAATCATAGACCACACATGCATGTGTATGTTTGTCAGATGCGGGATGTTTGATTTGATCCAATTGAAAAAAAGGGATAAGACAAGTATCGGATAATATAATAAGAAATTTGGGGTTCGGTCTATTTTTTGTCAATTTAATCATATTATTCCTTCCCTTTAAAAGTGTAATAAAATTAAAAATTAAAAACTTTTAAATTTTAAAAGTTTGACTAACATTAAAATCTTTTATCTCTCATATCTATTTATATTCATATATAGGTTAAGAGTTAAACTAATATTAAAATTTTCTCTCTCTTATCTATCTATATATAGTATATATATAGTAAAATTAAAAATTAAAAATAGTAACATTTCAAATACAAAAAAAAGTTATCATTTGGATACAAAAAATAATACATTTGAATACAAAAAAATAGTAACATTTAAACATACAAAAAATTGAAACATTCAATATTAATATTTTTAAAAAATAACAACAGTAACATATTCAACAAAAATATTAACATGTTCACCAAAGATAGTAACATATTTAACAAAAACTGTAACATACTTAACAATAATTATTTTTCTCAAATTCAATCGCAAAAAATAGTACAATTCAAATACAAAAAATAGTAATATTCAAAAAAAAAATAGTAACATGAATTTGAATTTTACTATTCAAATTTATAGTAAATTTTTTTTTTTTTGTATTTGAATGTTACTATTTTTTTTAATGTTATTATATATATATATAGATAAGAGAGAGGAAAAATTTTAATGTTAGTCAAACTTTTAACCTATATATGGATATAGATAAATATGAGAGAGAAAAGATTAACTTCCTTTCAAGGAAGAGTATTTTTGAAATAAAAAAAATGGACTTAAGTCACTACATATAATTTTAAATATGGAGTTAGCCACTTATAAATTTTTTTGTAAGACTTATTTTCAAACATGTACGTTTAGGAAAATCACTTCCAATTTTCACTAATATAATTCAAGGGCCACAAAACACAACTTTGGATCTAGAAAATGCAACGGGATCAATGTTGGGGAGTAATTACTTGGGCCATAGGAATTCAGTGCACTTATCCCCTCTGAATTGGATAAATGAAACCCACCACGCATGTGGGATTCATCTCCCCGAATGAAGCCACAGAAGGAATAGCCTGTCATTTGACATTATTGCCCTCAACAATAAGCCAATCTTCTCTTCTAAACTCAGCCATGGCGATCTATCTGCCCTCACCATTGACGATTCTATCATCGCTCACCCAAATATCTACCTAAACTCAACCATGGAAGTCCACGGTGTTGGCTCCGTTCTTGATTAAACTGTCTATGGTGGTGACTTCTTCGCACCACCGGTGGTTCTGCCATTATTTTCGACCGAGAAAATCATAGGTGGCCGGACGCCTGACATAGCATGCATGTGCATTGAGTTTCCAATAGTTTTCTCGATTGTTTGTGTTGTTTTTGCATTCAAGATTCATAGAAACCCTCTTGCTCGTTGATGGGTTTGTTCACAAATCAATGATTGTGGCTGTTTTTGTTCTGCGAAGGTAGTCTAAACACCATTAGATGAGAGGAAAGATAAGTATGGGTTTTTTTTGTTGTTGGGTTGGGTCGTTGTTAACAGTGATGATAAGTTAAAAACAGAATGATTTGCTAAAAGGCATTGACTTCCATAATCTGGAGAGTCCAAGCATCTATTATTTATAATATCCAAAGGATAAGCCAAAAAGATAACAACCTATTTGAAATACAAAACTCAAACATAAACTATTTGAATAGAAGACTAGATAACCTATAACTCTAGCAGCACATGATCTTGACGAATATCTAGCATAAGCTAAAAATCTGGCTGGTTATTCTTATGTGCCCCCTCAAGTTGATGTGGTATATCAGCCAACATCAGCTTGGACTTCAGAAAATTGAACCGTTGAATTGGTAAAGGTTTGGTAAAAATACCGATCAGTTGGACAATGGTGGAAACATGACAAACTTCAATGTGTCTTTGAACAACTTTTTCACGAATGAAGTGATAGTCAACTTCTACGTGCTTCGTTCAGACATGAAAAACTGGATTACATGCAAGTGAAATAGCATAAATGTTGTCACACCATAAGATAGGTGTGAAGGCGAAGGTCATGAAGAAGCATTGTGAGCCAGGTGATGTCAGCAGTTGTTTGAGCAAGTGCACGATACTCCACCTCCGTGGAAGATCGAGCCACTGTAGGTTGTTTTTTTTTGCACACCAGGTAATCAAATTCGAGCCAAGAAAGAGACAATATCCTGTAGTGGAACGATGATCAATGGAGTCGACAGCCCAGTCTACATCAGAATAAGCTATAAGATCAAGGGACCCAGTGGTAAATTTCAAAGCATGGTGAATAGTGCCTTTGAAATAACGAAGAATGCACTTGACAGCCGTGAAATGTTTATTGAGTGGATGATGCATATGTTGGCACACTTTATTGATGGCAAATGACAAATCAGGGCGAGAAATGTTGAGATACTGTAAACCACCAACAAGAGTTCGATAAAGATGTGGATCATGAAACACAGCTTCATCAGTAGGTCCAGCAGAAAATTTGGTGGACATTGGTGAGGAGTATGGCTTGCAATCACACACTGAAGCACGATCAAAGAGTGCCAAGGCATACTTGGACTGAGAAAGTGAAATGGAGGAGGATGTCCTTGTAACCTCTAGACCCAAAAAATAATTAAGAAGTCCCAGATCTTTCGTGCTAGATTAAGTGCATAGTTTTTGAATAACCGAATCCACAAATGATTTGTCACTTCCAATAATAAGAATATCGTCCACATATATCAAAACCACAGTAACTCTACTAGAATGTGTATTGACAAATAAAGAACTATCTGCCAAACTAGTACAAAAGCCAAGGGATATCAAAATTTTTGATAGAGTTTCAAACCACGCACGTGGTGCCTATTTTAAGCCGTAGATAACCTTTCGTAATATGCAAACATAAATGGGCTGAGTTTGATCAATAAAACCTTGTGGTTGGATCATGTATACTTCGTCGTCCAAGAAATCATGTAAAAAGGCATTAGATACATTGAGTTGGCGAATGGGGCAGTCGAAGTGTAATGCCATTGAAAGAACTACCCGAATGGTGGGTTGCTTGACAACTGGGCTAAAAGTTTCGGTATAATCAAGACCATATTCTTGACTAAACCCTTGAGCAACAAGACGAGTTTTGTGACAAGCCACGGTACCATCAACATTAGTCTTGAATGTGTATATCCACTTGCACCCAATAATGTGACGATGAGAGGGAGGTGGGACTAGAGTCCAAGTTCCTTGATTGAGAAGGGCATTAAATTCAGAGGACATGGAAGTTCGCCAAACTTCATGCTAGTTAGCTTGAGTGTAGGAGATGGGTTCAATGGGAACGGGGGTAAGAGCACATTGGGCAGTTAGAGAAAAGATTGGTTTTAATTTTACTGTACCGAATTTCGTGATCGTGTTAATAGATGGCCCAGCAGAAGAACCTTGGGGCGAGGGAGGAGTAAGAGAAAAGGTACTGGGTATCAACAGTTGGGAATTTGCTGGAAAAGTATCAGCGTGTACTGTGGTTGGAGATTAAGATTGGGAGGTGGGTGGGCAAGGAGGAGTATTAATGGACTGGGAGAGTAGTGGGTAGACATAGGAACTTGGTAACGTGGTGAGGAAACAGAGGAAATGTATGGATTTGATGGAGCCTATGAGATGGGCTGGGGAGAAATATGTACTGGAATAAGAGACTTGGGTGTGTCATGTAGTAAAGTGAATGTGCCTTGAGAAGGAGACATAACCTGTGATGAAAACAGAAAAATATGCTCCACAAACTT